TTATACAATTTCGGTTCTTGTTAAAATTTACCCACACCCTTAAATTCACCCCCTCACCCTCACTTCTGTAAAAAGCGTATTTCAAATACTAGAGACTTGTGCTTTGGCAGTTACATGCATATCCATGTTATAATCATAATCTACAAATTTCATGAAGATCGTACGTCCACAACAAGCTATTAAAAAGTTATTAAGCAATTAAGTTCTCATAGTAAGCGCTCACTTCCGCCCATGCGTGTTTATGCTTGTGTTATATTTATATATATATACATATATGTATGCAATCATGTATGTATATATTCTATGTATATTTAGTTTTCATAGCTGTTTTGCCTCTTGTATGTTGAAACTACAATTTACAATTTAATTCGATGTTCTTGGTTCAAAGTTTGTTAGTTTGATTTTTGTTTGTGTTTGTGTGTTTTTTTTATTTCTGTATTTAGTTTTTGTTTTAATTTTTTATGATCACTTTGTCTGTGTATGTGTGTGTGTTTATTTGGTGGTAACTTTTGTTTGCAACATTATTTTTATGAAATGAGCCATAATAAATGAAGCAGCTTCTAGGCATATACAAAATTAGTAGTCTTTATGTTTAATTCTTCTGCTTATTGTAAACAAATTGCACGTCTCGTTGCTTGGGACAGCAGCTGCGCAGCCAGCGGCGCAGCACACAGAGCGAAGACTGGACGTCAAAAAGCTGACTAGGATAATATGGCGCAGCTGAGCGTCAAAAGCTGATTGGCACAAGACGCCAACATGCAGACAGTGGAACTCACTCTCTCTCTCTTTCTATCTCGCTGTGATGTTGATATGCAGAGACAGGCTCTAGTTCACTCTGTCTTTCTCGCTCGCTCCCGCTGTGTGCTTAGCCGTGATTGGCGCAGCTGCCTTAAATCTATTTTGCCTATTGTTTTGGGTATTTTATTTTGCAATTGTTTTTTAAGTATTTAGTTTGTTTTACTTGTAGCTTTGCTATTGTTTCTCCTATACTCTTTATTTTCTTGTAAATTGTAAGTAAGTTATTTGTTATTTTGTTGTTGCTGGAATCACAGTTAGTTTGTGTTGTTGTAGTTGTTGTTTTTCATTTTGTAAAAAAAGAAAAAACGTTTTATTTGATTTGCTTTGTTATTTGCTATTTCTATGTGTCTCATCTCTTTTCTATTTGTTTGTAAAATTGTTGTATGCTTGTTTTGTAAATTATTAAACTATTGACGGTGGTTGCACATAAGTAAATATTATTTGTAACTCTAGCCTGCCTCAAGCCTCCGATTCGAACCCACTTTCCAGTTCCCTCAAAACTTCACCCTCTCCCCCGCCTCCCGTCCTCTACTCATCCTTATGCCTCAGTTTAACTTTTAGTTGATTTTTGATTTGTATAAATTATAATAAGTTTCTCCTTTGTATTGTTTGTCTGTTTGTTTGCTGTCTGTTTGCTTTAAGCTAGCACATACGTTTAAAAAACATATATTCAGTATATATAGTTGTCTCTCTTGCCTCTATGGTTTTTTGATTTTCGTTTCCATTCACTGTTCGCCCGTCGGTCCGTCTGTCTCATGGTAAAAATTATATATAAATTGCTATATATATAAAAAAAAAAAAACTAAAATCCTTTTATTGTTTTGCTGGTTATTGTTATTGTTACTATTTCTCTTTGAGTTTCTCATTCGATTTAATGTTAATTTCAACAAAATTSCTGCTGCTGGGACATGCCTCTTGCTGCTGTTGCTTCTTCTTCTTCTTTTTCTTTTTCTTCTTCTTCTGCATTGGTGCTGCCAACCGGTTTCGTTTCATCTCCTTTCATTTCAATCTCATCTCCTTTCGTTTCATTTCTCTTTTGTCTCAGCTCTCGAGTTAAACTCTCTATTAGTTAGTTTCTTTCTATATTTTGTACAATATATTTTGCTATTTAGTTTTAAATAAATGTAAAATTAGTTTTTTAGTTTAGCTTTTAGAGTTGCTCTATGTAAACGGCAGATTTATGGTACTTGGTGATTTGAATGTTTTCTTTTTGTTTTCTTTGCTCTCAAAAACACAGACTATTTTCATATATTGCAGTTTGTTGTTGTAGTTAGTAGTTGCCTTGCAGCTGCCAGAACTAATTAGATCTCCTTATATATTCCACTAAAAAAACCCTCACTTAACCATAGAAAACTTTGCATATTAGATAGAAAAAAAAAGAATTTAAACACTTCTACTAATTACAATTATTTATGCTTTAGTTTCAAATCTTAAAGACATTAATACCCGTGCTAATAGTTCTTAATGTTCTTCATCTTCTTCTATTTATATTAAAAAA